GCAGGAACCCGGCCCCAGCCCCACCCTGACCTCCCCTGCACCTACTCCGCACCACCTGCTGTGGTGCATCCTGCCATCCCTTGGGCATACAGCATGGCTGGGGCACCTCCACATCTGGACTGCCTTTCTTGACACAGCCCAGGTGGCAGCAGCTCCTTTCAGCTGATGGCCACAGCCCCTCGGTATCGGTGGGGCCCCATGCTGCACAGCCCCGACCCCGTGCACCCTGAGCCTGCTCTGGGCTTGCCTGCCCGGCCTCAGCAGCAGCAGCATGGGACAAAAGCTGTTGCTCAGGGTGGGGGGGAAAGCAACCCCCTCCCCCTTCCACTGCCGGCAGTTTCATGCTGCAGCCACACAGAGCCCGCACTGGGCTGCCCTGCGTCTGCTCTGTGTTGCCACTGCTGCCGTGTGGGGTAGTGGTGGCAGCACAGAGGGCAGCCCCATGCAGACTCCGGGTGGCTGCAGTAGGGAATTGCTAGCAGCGGGACGAGGAGGGGCCACATTCCCCCTGTTCTGTACAACAGCTTTTTTTCCTAAACCGCAGCTGCTGAGCCTGGGCAGGCAAGGCTGGAGCAGGCATGGGATACGTGGGGTCTGAGCTGTGCAGCACAGGTCCCCACCAATACTGCAGAGCTGGGGCTGGTGGTGGTGGCAGCGAAAGGAGTCACCTGCCACCTGGGCTGCTTAGATAGGCAGTCCAGCTGGGGAGACACCCCAGCTCTGCTGCATGTCCACAGGCAGCAGGACATGCCACGGATAGACTGTGCCTGGGCCAGGGAACTGAGGAACCCACCGCAGGCAGGATAAAGACTTGCTGTGGGCTGGATCTGGCCCACAGACCGTATTTTGCCCACCTCAGAGTTAGCACCCAGAGCTAAGTTCAGTCAGCCCATCCGGGTTAGGGGTATGGACTAACGAACAACTCTCTGCCCAGCGGGAGCATAGATTGTTGAGTACTTCCTGTTTCTGTCTTCCAGATTGATGATAATCAGCCGCTGGAATATTTATCTGAGCTTCGACCAGTCACAATTGTCTTTGTAAACCTTCAATTTGATGAAAGCGCCAACACAATGCATCTAAGCAAGGCCATCCAGGATGCCAGTTTACGTATTGCAGAGCTCATACACTCCCACAGAGGCAAAATCAATAAAGTCTTCATGTTTGACAAAGTGCGTAGGAGCATCCAGGACTTTCCAATCTTTCAGGCACAGAATGGCAAACATGAAGCTGGGACAAGGAGGCAGGGCAGGGACTGGAACTGTCAAGACAGTTGGAGAAAGGAAGTGGAGGGGAGGCACCAGGAGGACTAAGAAGCAGCTCAATCCTGGAGAAACTGAGTGTGAGGAGATGGTGGGAGAAGAATGGATTTTTTTGGGTGCTATCTTCTATTGGTCCAACTGCAAAGATGGTATAAAGTTAGACAAGTTTTCAAATGCAAAGCTTTAGGGCTGTGTGAAGCTTCAGTCCCTGATTCGATCTGGTGGAGATTCAGCCCGATTCAGTGGCCGAATCTCCAAATCCGAATCTAATCAGAGGACCCTTTAATCTCTCCAAATTGAATCAGAACCATCTAAATCGATTCAGAAAGATTCGGGGATAGACACAGCTTTTAATATTTTTTCTACATACCTCTAGGTATCAGGGGCTCATGAATGCTGCGATGCTGGGGTGCATGTAGTGTCCCACAGGAGCGTGGGGGGCTCCCCAGCATGCTTGGCAGCAGACCCAGAAGTGGACTGGCTCAGTGACTGGTGCCTCCTGGGTCTGGGGAGGCCCCCCAGTGCGTTCCCTGGCAGACCCAAAAGTGGACTGGAAGCACTTTCGGTCCACTTCCGGGTTCACCGCTGAACACGTAGAGGGTCCCTGCGAGCTCCTGTGGGACGTTTCATGCGCCCCAGCATCCCAGCATTCACAAGCTGCACTTGCTACTTCAAGGTATGTAGAAAAAAAGTTTAAAGCTGTGTCTATGTCCAAATCACTGATTCTCTGAATCAGCATCGAATCTTCAGATTTGGATTCGGTCGAATCGAATCGGGGACAGTGATCTGAATCAATTAATTGAATCACTGTCCCCGATTCGGGCCAAATCCAAATCTACTAGGGCCTGCTTTGCATACCCCTACAAAGCATTCATCTTTAGGAGATGGAAGGCCATCCTGGAGCAGTTTGAGGGAACCTGTGTGATGTTCCTGTTGGTTTTAGGATGAAAAAGAGAGGTCAATGGAATCTGTTTTGTGTGAGCTGGGTCCCAGTGAAGCAAACTAATTGTCACAAATATTATTACTCATTTGCTACTTGAAATAAAAATACTCTCACCCTTTTCCCTCCCCAGTAGGGTTGCACATTCCTGTGTGTGTTTGGACTTCCTGGAGACAAGCAGCCAGATGAGACCACCCATGCCTTGGACAGCGCATTTAAAATTTTCAAGTACTGTTCTGCAATGCTTATGAAAATAAAGTAAGTAGGGGGGCATAGTTAGTTATCCAGGTGGCTTAGAGGGGTGCTATTGGGTTATAAGGAGAAGGGTACCCCTTGCCCCCCAAACTCCCTTATCCATACAGTTAGTTGTCAATGGGAAGGGGGCAGTGACAAGACCACTGGGATTAGTCCAGCACACCCCAGGACTTTCCCATGCTACATGATTCTGGCCATCTACCAAAGCTACATGCTGCTTTGCACAATGTGACTCTAGCATGATGCTTTTATGTGCACAGAAGACAGAGCCTGCTTGATAACTGTTTTTTCTTGCTGTGAGCTTTACCTACCACTCAGTGGAAAGAACCGATTGACTTCCAGATGGCCATACATTACAGCCAGAGGCCATCCTGTGCCCTGTCCAGTTACCAAATACTCCCTTTTGCAGGTCAGAAGTCCATTAAAAGCTAGGGAAGTTCAACCAGTCTTATGCAAAAGGAATTAAATGACAGGAATAGGCATCTTGCAGCTTATGTTCTCAGAGAAGCAACTTGTTATGTGCATACTTGAAATGCCTTGTGATTCATTCATTCATTTAATTGTCAAAGTCATGGGCACAGCATAAAAACAGACAGATAGACAAAGCAAGGCAAAAAACCAGAACACTGTCCATCTCACCACTTCTCCACCTGAGGAGGGGTGGTGAATATGTAGAATTTTTATCGTGGACAGATGAGCATGTCTAGCCAATGTGAATATTTCCTGAATTTTCAGCCGGAGCTTTACCCCCTGCTCCATAAAAGGCAGTGAAGGTCAGCTGCTGCCCTGAAATGGTAGCATTACAAGAAAAGGAGCCATCAAAGAGACACTGCCTTGGGCAATTCTAAAAGCCTGCAGTCACTCCTGTAGAAGATGGACATAGGTGTCCTTTGGGCTGGAATGAGCTGGTGAGCGCATGGGCCTGGCTGTGACGCCATTCACTTTGGTTCCTTTCAGCACTTGGCAATCTCTGTGTTTGGGAAAGTACAAGAAGTTCTTTGTTTTCTCTCCCTATTCCTTTTGAAGCACCACACAGAGCTGTCTTGGCCACAGTGGGTCCTACTGGCTGATCAAGGGGTAGTTTGTACAATTAACACTAGCAGAGTGGGAGTGAGGAGGGAGAACGGACCAGAAGAGATAGGACACTAGAGATGGTTGAATCCACCTTGCTCTCGTTGTGTACCAGGCTAGTTTCCATCGGGGTTACCAGTGGGCCCGTGTTCTGCGGCGTGGTTGGCCATCGTGTCAGACATGAATACACAGGTACAATATGTTTATCTGGTGCTGTATCTGCTTACCATCCTCCCTGTTTTCATGTAAGGATGCATGCCTGCCAGTAGCACCACAGATATCTGTGTGTGTGCACGTGTGTATATGAAGCTTGTGGCATAGGGAAGTGAGGTGGGGCTCTTGATTTTACCTGCCTTTTTTTTGTGCACATTTTCTTGCTTTTCCCACAACATAGTAATTGGCCAGAAGGTGAATCTTGCTGCCCGGATGATGATGTATTATCCGGGGGTAGTATCCTGTGATGCAACTACCTATACCAGCTCCCGGCTGCCCAATTACTTCTTCAAGGAGCTCCCTCAGACTGAGATGAAAGGAGTTGCAAATCCTGGTGTGGTCTACCATTATCTTGGCATCAGTGAGAAGACGTAAGTGTCACCTTTTACCTAAGTGGGGCAAGGCTGATGAAAAGGGCAAATTCTTTCAATTAATACAAAGGGGATATTAGATGTTGTCTGGGCTGATCAAATACTCAAGCTGCCCTGTTTCTCTCTGAATCTAGAATATTACCACTCAGCCAGGCCAGGGTATTTCCTCTCCAAAATTCTTTATTCCATAGAAAATCAGCTCAAGGCAGCTGTCAGTCATTGAATCAGCCAGCTCCTTCTTCAGCAAAGCACAGGAAATTGTTAAGACACTGAACAGATTTGCATATCTCTCTGTCTAAAGTGTCTAACAGTACATGTAGTGTCCCTTATCAAGAGACCTGGTGAAGCTTTGCATGTCTCTCCATAGGCAGAGAATAGACTATTAGTCTTGGCCCAAATGATATTCAGGGGAAATTAAGAAAAACAAGAAAATAAAGAACAAAAGTAAAGTCTCCAGAAGGTGTGAGAGTCCAGCAAGAGTTTTAAAAATTAAAGAAAGCAGTATGCGAAAAGGCCCAAATTCCTAAACTTATACCTATGTATGCCACTCTTCCAAAAATCAAATTCCACTTGTTAATTGAGGTCAGAAAGTGCTAGGACACTGTTGAATGGTCTTTTTTGTCCTATCCTGGCTGGATAGCATCTACATTTAAACTTCAGTAGTGACTCAAAACTCCGGCCCATGATTTGGTTTTGTTTTTTAGCACTACTGCATTACCTGGTTGTGAAGGTTACTCCTGGTCCTTGTTGGTCCAGGTCTCTACTGAAGATGTGGGAAGCTTGGGACTATTACTGACTTGTTCCCGGAAAACTTCAGTAATTTTACTGGGTTGGTGTTTTCAGTCTTTTACGATAACTTTAAGTGTTAATATGGAGCCTTTTTTAAAAGTGCCACTATTGTTTGTGTTTAAATTAAAACAACAGCATTCATAATAGTAATCTACTCTACCCATGGCATCTTGACCTTTTTAATTTGCCCCAGTTCAATATTTCCATATATCCTGGCCCCTGATTTTATCACTGTTTTTTTTTTATACAACCTCTTTCCAACCTTCTCACTGTCCATACCCAAGGCTCCATTACTGGAAGTCTCTCCGTGTGGACAGACCCTCACTTATCTCAAAAGTGTGTGGACCAGTTTGCAGGAATAGGGTGCTGGTTAGTGCATTTATTGCCAAATAGTTATTTTAAAGAGTTGTTCAGTAGTTAAGAATCATCACTGATTTGTTCCCCCATTTTCCTGCTTAATAATGTCTTCGCTTTCTTTTCCTTGATGTTTTTATAAGAATTCTTATTTTGCTTATACCCTCTGGCTAAAATTAAATGATTCTCTAGTTTTTATTTTCCTTATCTTTTCCTTTGCAAGCTTTAAAGAAGTCTGCCTGTCCTTACTTGTTTCTTTTCTCCTTCTTATATCCAGTTCAGAATTATTTTTCACCTTTTTGAACTACTGGGTGCTATGGTGTTTATAGCAAAGGGACATGTATACTGCTGTACCTCATTTCTTTCTCATGCCTCCAGTTTCCCTGCTTTCTTTTTTACTGTAACAGTTTTTAGAGCCTCGCATTACACCATGGTCATTAGGCTTCTTGAGGTTTCTCTAATGCTCTTCTGAAGGGAATTTCCATGACACTTTCTCACCTCTGTCTCAACTTGAGTTCCAGTTGCAGAAAAGAAAGAAAAACAAAAACTTTTATGGAAGTGAAGTGTGGAGCATGGATTCACGGAGAAGGCACCTGCCAGCATCTCAGCCATGTTGATTCTGACCGTGAATATTTTATCTCTTTAACTGATTCTTTCCTTTCTCTTTCTTGTTGCAGGACAATTGGGAAAGCATCTCTCACCACAGAGCGCTCTGAGTATTATCCCTTGTTGGGTAGGTGCACCTAACTTTTCTGAAACACTTTTTTATCATCATTAACCATTAAAGTACTTGCTGGCACTGAGAAGAGCATACCAGAGGCTTATGGGAGTAGTGAAGAGATAGATACAGCAAAACTGCTCCCTGATAATTAGGTGACCCTGATAGGGGCCACTCAGAAATGAAAGAACCTCCAAGATGTATTTAGAACATCCATAGATACAAATCCTGTAACTGGAGTGAAACTGCAGGATAATGAACAGTACATAACACAGGCACTTTTTACTTTTCAGATCCGCTCCCTTTGTACTAGCATCTTTTCACTTTACTGCAAAGCCCCAGACCCTTGACAGGGGCAAGCCCTGTCACATCTCTAAGATTTTAATTTAATTGCCCTGAAAAAGAGATGCAGATGTAGAGTACCCTCCTACCACCTCACTCACTCTCTTTCAGGTGAAACTGGAAGGATTGTGTATTATACTTCCTTACACTAAGTTTGATGAGTGTAGCTAAGAATCTGTGAAACAGGCTGGATAAAAAATGTAAAGAAGGATACTTTGTACTGGTATCTGGGCTGAACAAGTTGTCTAAGAAGGGGGGGGGGCACTCTGTGTGTGTAGGGGAGAGGGAGGAACAGCATTCTGCTCAAATGCAGGCTTGTGGGGGACCATAGAGCGGGAAGTTGCTGTAGTCAAGATGAATGCAGAAAAGCAGATGGACAAGGATTTCAGCAGAGGTAAAAATGAGTCAGTGGCTTATGTAGGGATTTCAGATTAGCGTGAAGATGTGCTGCTACTGTTAAGCAGGGAGGGGAAGGGACCTGCACTATTTTTTACTTTCTTAAAGCCACTCCCTCTGCTCACTTACTTTCTTTTGCAGGCCGGGAAAAAGAGATTAATCTCTTTCAGACTTCATTGAAAAAGTTCATGGGTTCTACAGAAGGCTGTGTTATAATGTTTGAGGGTCTTATGGGCTATGGAAAGAGCCAGCTGCTTACTGAAATTGCCCATTTAGGCATGGAAGCTGGACATAAGTAAGTGACTTTAGCTTCACTTCCATATACTTTCCCCACACACCTTGCCTCTTCACCTTGCTCAAAAGCTGTGGTGTTTCTGCAAAAACTTCAGTAACGCCAAAGATGTGGACTGTCTTGGGTTCTGGCACAGACTGAAGTTCCCAGACACTTTTCTCTTTGGACCAAAGCTGATGTCTGTTATGTGCCAGGGCATGGTTGGTCTAGCCTAGGTTAGTTATCCAAACTGCAAGTATAGTCTAAGTTGGCTCCTTAGGGAACTTGGATCCAGAGTGGCCGGATGTCAGAACTGGATTCTGAAGCTGTAGCCAAAGTCAGGATGAGCCAGGGTCAGAAGGGAGACAAGTTAAACTGAGTGTTAACCAGGATCAAAAACCAAAAGCCACGGCCAAAGGTCACACCAGAATTATGAGCAAGGAACTGGAATTAAGTTCAAAGTGTCTTTCCAGAGTCAAAAGCTGGAATCAAAACCAAAAAGCTGGCAAGGAAACATACAGAAGGTCAGGAGCTAAAACTTTCATCTTCGCCCAGACAAGGACACTGTGGTCTAGGCTTGGCTTTTAAGGGCTGGAGCAGGTGTGGCCTGCTGCTTGTGGCTTCAGGGGGGATTGGCTGCTGTGACTGTCTCACTCAGCCCAGCTGAGACTAGGGCACTGCTCTGGTCTTGAAGCAGGTGGTTCTTGTTTTGGGGATGGCTTGCCTTGATCTTTTGATAGTGACTGGCTGGTCCAGGGTTCTGACCTGACCTCATTACAACCCCGGCTTCTGTTGACTTCAATATACCTTTTACAAAGGTAAGGAAGATTCTGTAATTTTTGTTTAGTTCAAATACTTCACATACCAGAATTGTCAATGCAGTCAAAGGGAAGATTAAACAAACGGTCTCACTATGCACTCCAATACCAAATTACTGCACTCATTTCAATAAATAAGGCAATCTGAGAAGTTTGGAAAGGCACTTTTTGTGGTTGTTATGGTTGGACAGGCACTTCTATGTTTCAAAGAATTAACCTATCTTGCTTTTTGATTACCCGGCTTTTCCTTCAGTTGATTTACTTGATCAAGTCTTTTCTGTGTTTAGAGATCACTTTAGGGCTGTTAATCTTGCATCTCTCATATGAGAGCAAAAGGTAATAAATTAGGGACTGAGCTCTGGTTATTTTAACCAGACATGGAGGAAATATATCTCCTGTCTTTTATCTATGAAGAAAATCAGGGGAAAAACTTTTTGCAGTTGTTGGAGATGAATCGTAAAGGGCTGAAGAAACCTACTTCCATTATTCCTTCTTCAGTCTGAAGGTTTCTTTGCGAGCAGACGGTGGCACCTACTCAGTGGAGCTCTGTTTGTGGACTTAGAAGACCTGGGTTCTTTTCCCAGCTCTTCTACTTTCTTGTGGGTAATCCTTGAGCATATCACTTCATTTTGCCATACCTCTATTTCCCTATCTGTGAATTGGGAACAGTGACACAAACTTCTTTTGTAATGTGCACAGCTGAAAAGTGCTCAGGAGAAGTGTTATTATTGCTATGTGTGTCTAGATGTTTTTGTAATAAGCAATAGTTTTGTGCATCTACAATTCTCTCTCAGAATGCTCTGACTTTTCTTGGTAGAGATTTCTTAGTCCTTTTCATTTTAACTCTGCAGAGTTGTTGCTATGGAACTGACGAAGATAAATGTGAATCAGAACTTCTTTGGCATCCGGGCACTCATGGCCATGTTCTTGGGGATTGATGCCTGTAAATCTTATGATGCAAGACAGCACACCCTCCAAAGCAAACTCCGAGATGTGGCAGATGAGACCTGCTATTGCCTCCTGAATAACCTCTTTCTTGTTAAGGTAATAGCGGAAATCTTAACTTGGAAGAAAGAGCTTGCCTGTGGAATTGATTGTCCTTCTTTACCCAGGTTCACATTGATTCTATATTACACCATTTTTTATTTTTGCCTTGAAATTGCACACTGGACCACAGTGTGAATGTTCATGAAATATATCATGGCAGGTGTCATGCCCTCCTGGCTGGAGCCTAACTAGGTTCACCCTTCCCAGGCTGGGGGATCTGGCTTTTCCAGCCTCAGACTCTCCCCTCTAACCTCTCTCTGGTTCAGGCAATTTGCCTTTCTCCATCTTGGGTTTCTGTTCCTGGCAGGGCTGATTACCATGCCTCTGTAGCACTCCATGGCCGCCTTGTCATCTCTTTCTAGCCACACCCGCTCCGCTGGTTCAAACGAGAACCTGAAAAGGAAGCTACAATATTAACACAAGCCCACCCTGCTTGGGGTAAACACATAAAGGGAAAAAAAAAGCATGCAACCATATTAACAAAACCCTCTCCTTCTCAGGGTAAACAAACCTGGGTCAACTCAGCCCTTGCCCCCTGGGGCTCTCACTGCTCTCTGTTTCAGGCATTCAGTGCTGGTTAGGGTCTCCCACGTACCCTCCCTTCCTCTGGGGAGTTCAGCTCCCTCTGAAGTCTCTCCTTACCCCTTGGAGAGATGGGGCTTTTAAATATCTCAAAGTGCAGCCCCTTCTAATCAGCTGACCCTCTCTCTCCAGCACAGCTGCATCTAGCTCAGGGGTGGGCAATTATTTTGGGTGGAGGGCTGCTTACCAAGTTGTGGCAAGCTGTTGAGGGCCACATGGGTAGCCCCACCCCTTGACAGGTGCCCCACCACCCCTGGTTACCATCTTGGGACCAATGTCCCAGGGCCAGCACTGGTGGGGCCCAAAGTAGGGCACAGGCTGGCAGGGGTCTGTCGAGCCAGGCTGGGCTGCACCAGCAGGGAGAGGGGGGA